CTGAGCCACGGAATTAAAAGTTGGGCGTTTCTCCGGTCCAACGGCGTTCTCAAGTATTTGGGGGATGCACAACCCCCCATTTACCGGGCTTCTCTCACTCTGGTCGACCGGCTGGGGTGTTTTTTTACTCTCTCCTAGACCTCAGTGTGAAGACCTTTTATTCAAGGCTAACCCACTCCCCCCAGCGGCTCCCTTGCGTCGGGCACTGGGAAAACCGCTTGGCCACTCAATTTAACTAGGCGCATCTGGAAAGAAATCTCTGGTGCTGATCTGAGCACCAATTGTGAGAGCGAAATTAGGTGGCGTATCACTCACGGCGTGGTTAAAACCAGGGATTACCTCAAGTCCTGGCGAGGCCTCGGCGTGAGTGATCATTGCGCGGGCTGTGGAGAACGCGAAACCATCACCTACGCGTTTTGCTCATGTCGCCTGGTGTCCTCTGCGTGGAGCTGGGCGTCGAAATTGCTCACTCAACTCTATGATAATTCTCCTCCTTTATCGGAAAAAAAAATTATTTTATTTCGCCAGGAACTACCCCGCTGCTCCCACTTTGAACCCCTGGCCCTGATGGGGTTTTCTTAATTGAAGTACTCCACAGGGCTCCCAGCCCCGTGACACACTTTGATAAATCTTGTTTACCTGTAATCACTCCCGCAAACCTTACAGCACAGCGGTTTTTCGCTTTTCAAGTTTCGTTATTCATTGCTTCCCCTGATTTTTTGTGATTCTATTCACCATAGCTAAATCATTTAATCATCTTCAATCAAATTAACAATCTCTGTATATAACAACACCTTGTAAATAAAATTTGATCCAACAAAAAAAAAGTACTGTCTGCAGTTAGTTATATATATATATATACAACTAAAGACGACAGAATTGAAAGATCAGTACTCCTCAAGAAAAATGTGATGGAAGAAACAGTCTCCTTGACAATTGTCTGTTAAAAGGACATAACAACTGACATTGTGACGAGCTAGAAATTTGTGGGGCACATTGTCTACCATGCTTTGCCAAGAATTTATCCATAAAGCTTCATTAAGTGTCTGGGATTGCGACGATGTACATGAAACATACAGCTTCAAAGCGGCAACCTAATGATCGTTGGTCCAGTTCAAGTATGATTTAGCAAAGTCCAACCTGAATCAAATGGGAACACATACACGTATTTCCATAATGGAAGCTCCTACTTCCTTTTCAATTCAAACGACAATCCTTCCAT